ACACGCACACACACACACACACACACACACGCACACACACACACACACACTTTGCACAGAGTACGCGGAGCAAGCCCACGCAGCATACAGTATGATGGAGTGCACAACACTTACAGGCTGCTGGGGTGGTTGTGGATGCTGCAGTGGTGGCCGAGGCGGTGCTGATAGCTCGCGAGCAGATGCGCGAAGAATCGCGTCAGATGCAGCGTCAGCAGGCGGTGGTGGCGCGCACTCACCAGCAGCGCCTGAACACGACACGACACAACACACACACACACACACACACACACACACACACACACACACACACACACACACACACACAGTGCACATGATGGTAATTATGAGTTTGGAGACGATGGGGAGCGCAGCCGTGCGGCGAATAAATTTTTACGGCACCATCAAAACACACATGATGAGGTGATGGTGTGCCTGTTTGTACATATACACGTGTGCGCTGCGTGTGTGTATGTGTATGTGTGTGTGTGTACGTGTGCGGCTGTGCGTGTGCCGCAGATGCAGACCTGAAAGTCACAGTAGAGGGACTTGAGGACGCGAACAAATTCGACGAGCTTGGTCTGCAGATGCACAAACGGGCACGCGGCAGCATCACACGCCACGGCCAGCACGTAGTCGTCCTCCAGGTACACATACGCCACGTGCACCAGCGTGCCAGACAGCACCTGTGTGTTGCCAATGGGCTGTGTCACGGGTGTGCGTGTACGGGCATGCACATGTGTACGTGTGTCAACAGGGTGAGCTGTCGCTGTCGTTGTGGTGGGGACTCGACAAAGGTGCTATGCGCACGAAGCAAATGCTGAAACACACACACATACACACACACACACATGTAATGTCATCCCCCCCCCCAAGAAATTCCATGCACCGGCCGCCTCCTCACTGCTCAGGAGAACGCACCATGTCTCTGGTGACATGCTCGGGAAAGCTGTCGATCATGGTGATGAGAGCACCAGACAGCACGCCCAACGCAGACGCTGGTTGCTCATCCTCATTCTCTTCCTCCTCTTGTTCCTCTTCATCCTCTGCTTTTGCTTTGTTTCCTTTTTCCTTTTCCTCCTGTTCCTCCTGTTCCTCCTTTTCCTCCTGTTCCTCCGCCTTATTCGCCTCTTGATGGGGGTTGCTGCTGCTGCCAGTGCGACTGTTGACGTCAGCAGCAGCAGCAGTGCCTGCTTGGTTATGCTCGCGGTTCACGGGTCCGTGCTCTGCCGTGGCGGTGTCGTCTGTGACCACAGTATCGTCGCGGCTGTCGCTGCCGCGCTCTGCTGCTGCCGCTGCTGTTGCAGTTGCATCAACGCCACCTGCTCCCTGCTTTCCGCCATCACCGTGCCGGCTTTCGCTCCCCTCGCGCTGAGCCCGACTGCCATCGCCGCCACCAGCACTCGCTGCCACGTCTACGGCATCGCTGGTGTCGGCTTCATCCTCCCCCAGCAGCGACGCAGCAAGTCGCGCAGCCTCAGACGCGTTGTACTGTTGGTGAAGCAGTCGGAGCCATGAGTTAATGGTTCGAGACGCAAGACAACATCAAAGGCCAACGACACACACATACACACACACACACACACAGGCACACAACGCACCGCTGCAGCGACTGCGGCCTTGTAGCAGTAGGTGGCGTCCTTCTCCCGCTTTGCACGCTTCTCGTTCGGGCGACGCATGAGCACCGCGTCGCACATGGTGGTGGCCACCGCCCCCTCGAGCGTACGCACCGACGGCAGCAGCCGCAGCAGCCGCGATAGCGCAGGCTCTGTGCAGACATGCACGCACACACGCACGTAGGCACGCATGTACGCGAATTGGGTCAGGTTGAGAAGGGGTGAGCACCAACGTTCAAATGAAAACGGGACAGGGGATGACTGAGGGAGGGGGAGACAGAGAGGGGTGGCACAGGCGGAACGGCCACGCTTGTCATGTGTGTGTGTGTGTGTGTGTGTGTGTGTGTGTGTGTGTGTGTGTGTGTGTGTGACGACGACGTCGTCGTCCGTTCCGTTCCGTCGT